GGGACGAAACGTACAAGGCATCACTCTGAATGACGTTCGTGGTGGTGGACATAAAATGTGCCCATAATGCCATTTTGGGCCGACCGGGATTGGAAGATCTGGAGGCAATAGCCTCTGTCTGCCACTCGTGCATCAAATTCCCCACGGACACTGGGGTTGGGGTGGCCAGAACTGATCCGACGACAGCTCGAACGTGCTACCGAGAGGCCCTGAAACAGATGAATACTCGTGGAATGCGGGTTAACAGTATTGAGGTAGAAACCCACCGAACGGAGTTCGAGGCGCATTCAGAACCTGCCACTCTCCTCGAGCAAATTGACCTAGACTCCCCCCGAACCGAAAGGTAGCTATCGGGATGGATCTGGAGGCTGACATTCGGGATGGCGTGATTGCCGTCCTAAAAAAGTTTCAGGTATTATTCGCCCGAGGACCGGAAGATATGTCGGGCATTGACCCAGAGATAATCTGTCACAAGCTTGTCGTTCGGCCTGACGCAAAACCGGTCCAACAAAAGAAACGATACCAAGCGACCGAACGGAAGGATTTCACAAAGCAGGAAGTGGCCACATTGCTGAGAATAAAACACATCCGTCCGGTAATCCATGTCGAATGGCTATCCAATGTGGTCCTATCCCCAAAACAATCAACTTGGAGGATGTGCGTGGATTACTCGGATCTGAATAAAGCTTGTCGCATGGACCCTTATCCAGTGCCGAGGATCGATCTGTTAGTGGATGAAACGGCCGGGTGTGAATTGTTGAGCTTCATGGATGCGTTCCGGGGATATCATCATATTTTCATGCACCTAGACGATGCAGAGAAAACAACGTTCATTACTTCGGATGGTGTGTTTTGCTATATTGTCATGTCATTCGGGTTAAAGAACGCAATGGCTACGTTTCAAAGGATGATCAGGATGCTCTTCAAAGATGTGTTGGGGGTCACAATGGAAGCTTATGTTGATGATATCCTGATCAAGAGCCGGAAGAAGGAGAATCATATCCTGGACATAGAAAAGGTGTTCGAGATAATGCAGAAAGTAAACATGAGGCTGAATCCCAAAAAATGTGCTTTTGCTGTGAAAGGGGGCAACTTTTTTGGGATACATGATGAGCGAGAAGGGGATTGAGCTTAATCCTGAGAAGATAAAGGCAATTGTGGATATGGAAGCTCCTAGAAACCTCAAGGAGGTGCAGAGATTGACCGGTCGGTTAGCAACCCTGAGCAGATTCCTATCCAAGCTAGCCGATCGAGCTATTCCATTCTTCGAGATCATGAAAAAAGCCAACCCCTTTGAATGGACCGCCGAATGTCAAACGGCCTTTGAAGATTTCAAGGCATACCTATCTTCTCCCCTGGTCTTGACAAAACCCGATCCAGGGGAACACCTGTATATGTACCTTGCTGTAGCTGACCTGACCGTGAGCACGGTATTATTGAAAGAAGAGGATGGCATCCAGCAGCCGATCTATTTTGTAAGCAAGGCTTTGAACGGGCCGGAAACCAGGTACACCTTACTGGAGAAAACAATACTAGCCCTGATAGCTGCTATTAAACGTCTAGCACCATATTTCCAGACCCATCCGGTAACTGTGTATACTACTCAGCCACTCGCCACCATCTTGAGAACCCCAATGGCAATTGGGCGCATTACAAAGTGGAGTCTCCTGATCGGGCAATATGAGGTGGATTTCAGGCCTCGGCCTACTATCAAAGGGCATGCCCTGGCGGGTTTCATTGCAGAATGTACCGCTCGGCCTTCGGAAATAGATTCAGAGAACAATGTGCTGGATAGCTGGTGGGAGATGTATGTGGATGGTGCAGCTAGTGCCAAGGGTTGTGGAGCCGGAGTTGTGATCACATCGCCCGAAGGGTTCAAAGCATATTACTCCATTCATTTTGACTTCAAAGTAACCAACAATGAGGCCGAGTATGAGGCCCTTATTGCGGGTTTAAAATATGTGAAGACCCTGGGCGTCGATCGGTTAAAAGTCCGGTCAGATAGTCAATTGGTGGTAAATCAGGTAAATGGCACAGCTGAGGCTAAAGAGGAAAGAATGGAGGCTTACAAAGAGCTAATCAAGGAGCCGATAAACAAATTTGAACAGGTGGTGCTCGACCAAATATCCAGAATAGAAAATACCGAAGCAGACATCTTATCTAAACTAGAAAATGCAACGCTCGACGATCGGGCACAGGAGATTCCAACTCATATCCAACGATTTGCCCATCGGGAAACCTTGGCAACCCCAGCAATCATGGTGCTCCAGATCGAGGCCATATCTTATGCCGTCCCCAATTGGGTCTAGATATGACCAACTACCTAAAAGACGGAACCCTCCAACAAGACTGCTTTGCGCATACTAGAAAATGTAAAGTATGCCAGCTATACGCGCCGGTCCCCGGACGGCCAGCCACTTTCTACACTCCAATGACGGTGGCCCTCCCATTCGCTAGGTGGGGGATCGACCTGCTAGGTCCCCTATCTACTGCCCCTGGGAATAACAAGTACATCATCGTTGGGATAGATTATTTCACCAAATGGGTGGAGGCCGAGCCACTGGCTAGCATCACATATGTCAAATGTCAAAAGTTTGTGTGGATGAATATCATTTGCCGTTTTGGACTCCCAGAACAGATTATAACAGATAATGGAAGGCAGTTCGTAAGCCAGAATTTTGAGAACTACCTTATCAAATGGGGAATCAAGCATTCCAGAGCATCCGTGGCATACCCCCAGGCGAATGGTCAAGTAGAGAATATGAACCGTACCATCATGGACAGCATGAAGAAGAAGCTGGAAGAATACTCCTCATCATGGCCGGATCAGTTAAATTATATCCTATGGACTTACAGGACCACACCCCGAACGGCCACAGGAGAAACTCCATTTGCCCTTGCTTATGGCTTCCAGGCGAAAGTACCAACAGAGGTCTTAGTTCCTACACACCGAACGGTGCATTATATCCCAGAGCGGAATGAGGACAACCTATGGGCCGAGTTGCACTTCATAGAAGAAAAAAGAGATATAGCAGTTGCACGAATGGAAGAATATCACAGGGCCACGAGAAGATACTTTGACAAACAAGTTAAAATTCATTCAATCGAAGTAGGGGACCTGGTGCTAAGGAAGCGAGAAAAAAGCAAACCTCTCGAAGGCGGAAAAATGGCACAAAATTGGGAAGGCCCGTATCAAATATGCAAGAAGTATTCTTTAGGAACGTTTGACCTACAATGTATCGAAGGCCGACCGGCAGGCACATGGAATGCGGAACATTTAAGAAAGTTTTATAAAAAAAAAACGGTTGTTGCCACACATATATATATATATGTGTATATATATATATATATATATATAGAGAGAGAGAGAGAGAGAGAGAGAGAGAGAGAGACATAACTTCCAGAAAGCGCTCATCTCAACTTTGATTTGTGGTCATTCCGGAGGACCGAACGACGAACGGATTAATAGTTTGGAGAGGGCCATCATTCTCAGCTAAAAGAATTTGACCCTAGACTTATGAACGGATAAAGGGATCAAAACGGCTTGGAGAATCGATGCTCAGAAAATCTGAGACCATGGTTAACACGCAGTCATTCCGGATGACCCAATGACGAACGGGTTAACAACATGGAGGGAAAGTCATTCTCAGCTAATAGAATTTGACCCTGCAATCATAAGAGGGATCAAAACGGCTTGGAGTTTGACACTCAGAGAGTCTCATCTCAGCGGTTAACATGGGAATCGTTCCGGACAACTGAATGAGGAACATGTTAGCAGTTTGGAGGGAGCCATTATCTCAGCTATCAGAATTTGACCCTGTAAGAGAGAGAGTCTCACCTCAGCTTGTTAACACGTGGGATCATTCCGGATGACCGAATGACGAACGGGTTAACAGTTTGGAGGGAGCCGCCATCTCAGCTAAAAGTTTGACCCTGTGATCACGATCAAAATGGCCTGGAGGGATTCACCTCAGCTAAAAGGTTTTTGACCCCGTGGATCACGAACGATAAAGGGATCAAAACCGGCTTGGGAATGGTGTCAGAACATCTATTGTCAAAGCGAGCGACGTTCGGTAACATGGATTGTCGTCCGGAGAATCGGAACTTTCAGAGAGATGTCCGAATGACGAACGTCTTAACGTGTTGGAGGAAGACATTATTTCAACTAAAAGAATTTGACCCTGGCCTTACAACTGCACAGAGGGATCAAAATGGCTTGGAAACAATGTCAGAAATATAGAGATACATGAGCCGAGTGATGTTCGGCAACACAGAAATTATTATCGAGAGAAATGACAGAAATAAAAAAACAGAAGAGCAATACGTCAACACGGTTAAAGGAAAATATCCAGTTTATGCTTCGGCACTTCTAACCGGAAGATACAAAAGAAAAAGAAGAAAAGGCGAAAAATAAATATACAAGGCTATGTTGCTGAAGGATCGCCGTTCGGGGAAGATAAAGGTTGGGAGCTCCCTGCCTGCGCTGCATCATCAGGCACCGCTTTTTTCTCTTCTCCATAACCTGATCATAGGTATTCCCGAACAGATCATCAAATCCCAACTCATCAGGATCGAATGGCTTAGGGAAATGCTCCATGATCAGATCAAGGTTCTTGTCTAAAAGCAGATCCTGACTTTGTTTCACAGTCTTCTCGGTCAGGACATCTAGAAAAGACTTCCCTTCCGACGTGCTATCTAGGAGATCGATGCCTGCCTTAACGGGATCTTCGCTTTCACGCAAAAAATGGCCAAGATGAGGTCCCAGGAATTGCCGAGCTGTATTCTCCAGGGCGACGTTCAGCCCTTTACCCCGTTGGTAGTCAACTATTGATTGATTGGCAATCATGGAAGTATTGGCAGTATAAGGTTCGGGAAGATTGTCACCATTGACCTTATCAAATTTTACCCTGGCAGATTCAGCAGCCCGCACCTTGTCCCGAAGTTCTTTAATCTCCCGATCGCGACGTCGGGTCCTCTCTTGCATCGCAGCCAGAGCAGTCTTCGCCTTCTCGCCTTCATTGGCGCGTTCTTGTAAATCTGCAGCTAATTTCCGAGCAGCGAAAAGGAGGACCTGGCTATCGTCCCGATCGCTGGCCAGGAGTTTCATTTCCTTTTCGGCCGCCAGGAAAGCCTTGTGATAATATACACCGGCCTGAAGACAAGTGGCAAACGAAGTCAAATAAAATGGACAAATAAAGAGTAGGAAAGTATGGATCAAAATGAAGTGTACCTTGAGTGCCTCTTGATGACCTGCCTCAAGTAGATCAGACCAGTGAGTTAGATTTGTGGAGCTAGGGGGAACCTTCAGGGAAGTACTGCACCACATGGATGATGGAAACATGTACCTTCCTTCTGCTCTAGGCCCCATGTTTGAAAACTCAACGAACATCCGATCGTCGGCCGGCACGTCAGAAAGAACTGGAGTTTTTGTTTTGGCAGGCACATATATTTTTGGCTCAGTCTCCGGGCCAGTCAGATCCACCACATGATCGATCGGGATGAGTTGGATGGCGTCATCTACCCGACGCTTCTTACGTACCCGGTCGGCATCATTTGAATCCACGGGCGTCATTTTCTCCTTGCCTTTCCCCGAGGGGGCCGGTGTAGAAGTAGGAGCAGAACGCCGAACGACAGTGGAAGGAATCACACCTGCAAGAAAGGAAAATAAAATTAGAGTAAAGTTTAAAATTGAGAATGAACGGGTTGAGGCCAAACCAAGCTTACCAATCCCGGCAGCTAGTAACTTGGAGGGAGTTATGAATGAACGGAGATTTTGTGAACCTCCCAAACGCAGAGACTCAGCTTGCGAAAGCATAACTTCATCAGGTCTAGGCTCGGAATCCTGAACCGGATACGCATTCCACCGATCGGGGAATGGAAGTGATGAACCTACGCGAACGAAGAGGAACCTCTCTTCCCAATCAGCTGACGGTGGAGGGTTGTCAGTAAACAACTGACGATTCGATCGAGCTACCAGTTTGAGATAACCTGTGGTCCAGTAGGGTTGGTAGCAATAATGGTACAGAAACAGGTCTACACTAGGAACAATGCCCAGCTCGTGACATCGAAGAATGAAGCCGTTCAGAAGGTGATCGGAACTAGGTATGAACTGGGCCGGTAACACAGCGATCCGCTTCAAGAATTCTATCACGAATGGATGCATATGGAAACGGAGTCCGGCCACCAAGGAATCAAAGTGCACTAGAACAAACCCCGGTCGATGCCTCATGGGATGCTTTATAAAACCGGCGTAGAATTCCCTGGGAGGGGGCAAGAGTTGACGGAGTTGCCATTCGGCATCCTCTGGGAGACGTTGTCTCTGTTTCCGAATGCGGTAGAAGTGCAGAGGGATACGGACTGGTCGTTCAGGCATTCCCCTATTATAAACAGCAAGATCATCACCTGATAAACACCCTTCATCTGGGACAGGCTGTTCGGGCTGTTTAACCTTCGAATTAATAGTATTAGATATTTGGGATGACGAACCCCCAGATTTGTCAGCAGATGCTTTCCCTCTGGAACGGTGAATAAGCGGCATGTCTTCTTCTTCTGAAGAACCGGTGGAAAAGAACATAAAGTACAAGGAATCTGAGGACTTCTAGAGAGAGAAAGCTTAGAGAAAAAACTAGAGAAACAGCAAGAAAAATAAGGCGCAAGCACCTCTCTATAAATAGGGAAAGTGTCGCCCAAAACCCTACTCCATCAACAACACGTGGCATTACGTGGTTATGATTAATCAGGGCGTATTTATGGCTCATTGATTAGGCACGTACCCCGAAGGGGGAATGAAGGAAAATGGTTGCGAGTACTGTTTAACCAGGCAATCGAACGTCGAACGGAAATGTACGTTTTAAGGCAACCCTTTCCAACAAAATCGAACGAGTATTTATTTCGGGTACGTATATTGACTGGCCAAACAGCGAATAGCAGGCCAAAGGTGGATAAGAGGAAGGTCAGAACGGCCAATTTCTTTCACATTGACCGAACAACGAACAACCAGATCCGTTAAGATTGATCGAAGGGCGAATAACAAGATAGAGATCGACTACATCCATAAGAAACCTGTTATATCTCGAACGGTCATACAAAGGAATGCAACAAGGTCAGTGAACAGCTAAATACTACTCGACTGGCCGAGTAACGAACAACGAGCCAAATGACTAAGACCTTTCAAATCAGCCGAATGACGAACGGTCTCACAGAGAATTAGCAAAAATCACACTAAATTACTGGTTACAAAACTGCTAAGTCCTAAAAAATGATCTGAAGCCCGAACGGCTATCGACACAAGAGAGAGGCCAAATGCAGGTAAATTGGCGGAAAAATCTGAGGCCAGGAAAAACTGCTAAGTCATAAAAAATGATCTGAAGCCCGAACGGCTATCGACACAAGAGGGAGGCCAAATGCGGGTAAATTGGCGAAAACATCTGAGGCCAGAAAAAACTGCTAAGTCCTAAAAAATGTACCGAATCCCGAATGGTAAGCAATAAATCAAGAAAGGCAATATGAGAAGCTTTGTGCAAAAAAGATGTGTATTCATCGGCTCTACTGGCCGGGAAATACATGCTACTAAAAGAGAAGAAATTACAATGATTAACAAAAAATTAAAAAACTAGATTACTGATCAGGGGCCGTCTCTTCTCCATCTTCATCTTCGTCTTCATCATCATCAGATGGGGGTTCAGGCTCTCTCCCGGCAGCCCGATCAGCTTCCCGCTGCAGATTTCGCTGGAATTTCTCAAATTGGGCTTGTACAACTTCGTCCTGTGGGAGATCAGAAGCCTGAACCGGTCTCCCAAGTTGATTCTGAAGTTGAGCCACAAAAGGACGTAGCAGGACCTGACCGATCTTGGCATAAAGATCCGAAACAATGGAGTCATTCCACTTCTTGCTCTCAGGATCCTTATCTAGAAGATCAACCCCCGCCGAGAGCCGACCAGCACCCCTAGGAAAACCCTTCAGGTAAGCACCAAACGCAAACTCATCAGAGAATTTGAATGATTCCCGGACAGCGGATAGATCCACATTCACCTCATATGGACCGTCCGGGATGCTAGAGGGCATCTCCTCAAATTTGATTTGTGCGGCCTCGGCAGCAAAGACCTTAGCCTGGAAAGCAACAAGTTGGACCCGAAGGGTGCCAAGCTCAGTATCCAGCCTCTGCTTTTCCTCCGCAAAGGCTTTCCGTTCGACCTCTAGAGATGTGATGGCAGCAACAGCATTTTGCTCAGCAGCGGACTGAGCAACGATCAAATCCCGTTCCTTAGCCAGACGGGCCTCCCACATTTGCAAAGTATACAATCCCATCTACAAAGTGCCGATCGGGAGTTAGTAAAATGATAACGAAGAATAAAATGAGAATGAAGCACAAAAGATAATATACCTTCAGTGCAGTCAGGACCAGACACTCTTCGGATTGTTCGACCGACAGTTGGGGAAGTGAGAAATTATTAAACCATGAGGATGTTGACCAGATCTGGCTCACGAAAGAACCAGCTTTCTCTAACACCTCATGAACAGGATCCGACAGAGAGATTCGTTCGACCTGACCAGTGATATGGTCGATATGAATCTCGCCTACACTCGAGGTTACACCCTGAACAGACTCAAAGTGTTTGGTAAATTGGTGCAGCTGATCAGAACCAAATCGGTCATCAATCATCATGGCATCATACTGATCCTGACAAGAAAATTGTTTTATAGGCTCCGGTTGCTGAACGGCCGGTGCAGGTTCGGTTTGTGGAGCAGTGGTAGTGGGTGAATCAACCTTAGGGTTTTTCTTCATCTTTTTCTTTCTCTTCCCGACCCCGCCAACAAAAAGCACACGACTATCATCCATGGTGGCGTCTGGATTGGGAGCTGAAAAATGACAAAGGAAAATGTTAGTACCGAGCGGCCTTAGCATGTGAGAAACTAGAAAAAAGAAGAGAATTTTTCTCGCACGCGAAGGACCGCCCGGACCATGGCACTTGATTCTCAAAACAAGTAAACCCAAGAGAATGGGCAGTACCTATCCCGGCTTTAACAAGCCGATCGGGAGTCAGGTAGGTCATGATATCGCAACACTTGTCTTTCTCCACAGCGAGTACATCCTTGTAGATTTCCTCAGTAAGAACTGGGTCGGGAGTCTTGCGAGGGAAGGCGTTCCATTTACGAGGGATCAGACCGTCCGAGACAGACACAAAGAAGAACCTATCTTTCCATCCCTTGATTGAGGTTGGATTGCCCTTGAATAGAATATGTCCCGTTCGAGAACTAGCGGCTAGATACCCATGGGTTTCTTGGGGGGGCTACTTTAAAAAATTGATGGAATAAATCTAGGGTCGGCGAGGCACCGACATCTTTGCAACGGCAAATAAAGCCCGCCATTGCCCGATAGGAGTTCGGCATGAGTTGGGCAGGTACAATTTCGTAAAAATTGAAAAATGAAATAAAAAAGGAGTGTAATGGAAATCTAAGCCCAGCCCTAACTGAATCGAAATGGACTACGACCATCCCGGGGGCGTGACGCAGGGGGTGAAGCCCAGCTCGCAACCGAAAGTCCACTGGGTATGGGATTAGGGCCGGAATTTCGGCCCTATTGTTGGCAGTCAATTTTTGTCGTCTTGCCCTAATTAAACTTAGGTCGAGCGTATGACGGGGGACATCGTTTGGGCGTCCAGCCGCCATTAAACCCATTTCATCCTCGGATTTCGTGCCATCTGAGTTTTCACCAGAGGAAGATGAACTGCTAGAAGGGTCCTCCTCCTCCTCCCTAGTATTTGTCGCCGTTTCAGTATAACCGCCGGCGAACGGAACTGTAATGACGTCCACAACAGCAGCATCACGGTCATCCCCTTGAGAGGCCATTTCCGAATCAGGGGAATGCGGTTGAGAACTCATCCTGACCAAGCCAGAAATGAGGTAAGAAAGTAGAGGGAGGAAAAGTACCTGAACACGAAAGCTTGAAGAAATTTCAGAGACAGAGCAATGATGCGAAAGAAATTGAAGATTCGAAACCCAGATTGAGGAGCTAAAGGCTAATTTATAGCCTTAAAACCGCCGTATCGAGGACCAATCAGGAAGCGACACGTCACTACAACCATTTAAGCTAAACGCGTGTCTAATGAAAAGGCAAACGACAATAATCATGACAATTATGGGGAAAAGCAAACGATAGCCGTCAAATCACAGTATGAGGGAACTGACCACTTCTGTACCCCGATCGCCATTCGGCATTTGCAACATTGGTGTTTATACTTCCTAATGCACTCACTGCCATTCGAGACATCGGAAGTGGGGGACTTGTGTTGGGATATTGACCTGGAGGCCCAATACCCGGATTAAAAAGGCCCATAATATCCAGCCCAAACAACGAGTCCATTACCCTATGATGAGTAGGCCCAGTGAAGAATCCATACCGAACGAGGTTCGGTCCAAGTAGAGGCCGACCCAGAAAGCAGAAATACCGAACAGAGTTCGGATCATACATCATACTTGGGCCAATTTGACAACGTCTTCCACATGCTCCAGCATTCCGTTCAAGCAACGGACAACCAGCAAGTGGCCAGGTGCAATTAATGCCAGATTGTGACATCAGCAAGTGGAAACATGGGTGATCAAGTCGGTGAAACAACAGCCAATCAGCATAGAGCAGCCCATGCTCTCCATTAGTATAAATAGAAGGTTTATTATCATTGTAAGGGTTAGCATTTTGATACTCAAGCTCTAGAATAGCATTATTACTCTCGTTTCTTGTATTAAAGCACAGTTCTTACGTACCGATCGGGAAGTTTCTGATGGAATATATGGACTCCGACCCCTCGGTCTGCCGACTACTGGGCTTGGACAGCGGCCCACACACACGTTTAA